TAAGAAGCCCCATTCTAAAACACCAGGCCAAGGGCAAGAGCTTTCTTGTCTTGCTTAGCTCTGAGAGAACAATCTTGGGATGGGTCTAGACATTTGATTTGTGAAAAGCCCAACCCCTAACTGGCCTGAGTGACTTGTGAGGTGGCATGGCAGGAAGAGCTCTACCTGGAAGAGATGACTACAAAATATAAGACTTCGTTTCCCATACATTTATCACATTTCATTCATATGGCCACAAAAATCTTCAAGAGATGGAGTTTATTTCTCCTCCCCTGAACCTAGCTATGTGAGACTTTGTGATTGCCTTAGTGATGTGGCTTCTACCTGGGACTCTCTTGACTAAAGGGAGGGTCCTTGCAACTCGGCCACTCACTTCCTCATCAGGAAGCCCAGGCCACTGAAGAAACTATTGTTTAAAAAGTACGGACTTTGGGGCTGGGGCTGTAGCTCAGTTTGTAGAGTGCTTTCGTAGCATATACAAGGTCCTGGGTTTGATCCCCAGAACCTCATAAATCAGGCCTGGTAGTACATTTCTGTATTCCCAGCACTTTGGAGATATAGGCAGGAAAATGAGAAGTTCAAGGTCATCCTTGGCTACATAGGGAGTTCAGGGCCAGCCTGAGATACATATTAAAAAAATAAATAAAATAAATAAAATAAAAAATATATCCCTCTTTAATCTTTAAAAAAAAAAGTTGTCTGACGTCCATATGTTACTTATGGCCTTGTGGCACATGTACCTGCATGCATGCGTGCACACACAAAAATAAATAGATTAAATTAATAAATAAATAAATAGAGTAATTGGTTTATTAAAAAAATAAATAAAATAAATAAAATAAAAAATATATCCCATCCCTCTCTTTAAAAAAAAAAGTTGTCTGACGTCCATATGTTACTTATGGCCTTGTGGCACATGTACCTGCATGCATGCGTGCACACACAAAAATAAATAGATTAAATTAATAAATAAATAAATAGAGGTAGAAGTAATTGGTGGAACAACTCTTCTCTCCTTAGTACAGACCTGCATGATCCTTTTCCACGATAGATTAAAATGTATACGTGCACCTACCAGTGCCTTGGAGAGTTCAAGTGTTCTTCCTAGTGCCGTAAATATCACTATAAACATCATTTTAAAGCCATTTTAAATAAAGTCTTAATTTTAATAAATTCCTTTTGTCATATTTCCCAGTTGATTCTGTCGCATATGTGACAGTAAAGCATTGGAGAAACACAGCCCAGCCCTAAAATTCCCTAAGAGGTAGGCCTATTGGAATAGCACACTTCACAACTACTGAAAATCATCCATGTTTCAAGAACCTGCTAGATGTTTTTAAGCTCTCTTTTGAATGTATAACCACAAAACAGTTCAAAGAACCTGAAGCAAATTTTTTACCCTTTCAGAGTATCAATCTCCTGAAAAAATCCCATTTCTGACTGTCATTTATCAAATTAATCTTATGATTTCCCAGAAATTCACAGTTATAGTAATTATCATTGCTCCTGTTTCTTCCTTAAATAATTCATCCTCATCTTGTACCAATTACTTCAGCATTGCAAAGAATGTCAGTCAACCCAGCAGTGCCTGTATAGCAGGGTTTCATTTCTGCAGTGCTCTGTTTCTGGTGTACACCTGTGTTTTAATGCTAGCTGATGGTCCTATTTTCCAGTTTGTCTTCAATAATATATTGTAAAAATGGTCTGAGTTCTACAAATGTTGATTTTACTAATGTCTTGTACATATTAAGTTACATTGACAACTGTCTTAGTCTGTTTGGAAGTGCTATAAAATACTATAAACTACAGAAATATTTCTTACATTTCTGAAGCTGGAAATCCCAAGATCAAGGCACACGCAGATTCAGCAACTGATGCAGGTTTGCTTCCACACAGAGCAGCTTCTCCTTGGATTTTACTATCCTTGAAGGTGCAAAGGAGCTCCTGCCCTTGTGCCTGAGTCACCCCCCAGAAAGTCCGATCTAACACTGTCACTCTGGGGATTAGGGTGTCAGCAGATGAAATCTGAGCAGATACAATCATTCAGACCATAGCAACATTATTAATGGAAATAATTTTTAAGTCTCAATTTCACTTTAAGGGCTTTTAATTTATAAATTCAATCTGAATAAAATAGTTAAGTCTTCACTTTTAAGTTTAATTTGCTTCACTATTTCAATTTACCCAGTATTCACTACTTATAAAAATTTATAATTCTTAAAAAATTCAAATCAACACAATTTAAAATACAGGTAATTTGACTGAAAAAAAAAATCACTGAGGACTCTTAGATTTCAACATGGACTTAAATTATAAAGGGAAATACATTACAGGAAAACTAGGTGGAACCTAAAGTGGACTTTCTACTTCAAATTCAACATATTAAATTCATCTTTCATATATATCCTGGGAATGATGTTATCTGACTCTACAAGTTCCGTGGAGCATGCTCTCATACAGCAATGTGGACCCTTGCTTAGTTTCAGTAATGGTATCCAACCTTAAAAATACAGAAATATCAGGCTAGCCAGAGATGTTACAGCAGGCTACCCAGGTCCCTATCTCAGGGCCTAATATAGTTCCTGTGTTGCACAGTCGCCTCCACTTCCAAGACCACAATAAGTTTGATTATAAGAGTCTTCTTACCCTTTCTGGTACTTTAGTAGCTCTTTCTGTTCGTGACAAGAAAGCAGCATTTCTGTTAATCAAGTTAGGTAGTAATTCAGGAATTCCCCCAACCTGTGAATTCCCAAAAGGCATATTTAAAGGAAGAGTTAAAGGAATAGATCATATATCTATCAATAAAAGTTGCACTCAAACAGAAGCTTTCAATGAAGCTTAGCAATATTGCTCCACCATCAAAAATAGACATATATTCAAAAGTTAAAAACATTTACATAGCATATAGAAGTAAAAATAACTTTAAGTTAGTGAGATATTGCAATGGAAACAGTTGACTATATGAACTTCTAGGTAGGTATGATGGATCTATATACATTATTTAAATCGCTATTTAAATACATGAAGGGTGAGCTTTCAGCTATATTTAAATATCATATTCATATATCAACTACTTTTAAATTTCATAACCAGGATGCTGTAATTTCAATAATATACAATTACAATGCATATGTCCAATTATATAGTATTATTTGTTAACACTTCATTATTAATACATAAAACATATTAACTAAAAATTTCACTTAATTACATGACAATTCTGAATTAATACTTTCCAAGCAAAATGATCAATATGCTCTTAATATAATAATCCTTCATATGCACTGAAGATGTAAATTAATGCACTAGAAGAGGCAGGTAACCTACAATTTTAATTTGCAATTAATTAATCCCTATGAAGTACTGTTTCCAATTTAATCTAATTTATACATTTGTATTCATTTAAACTGTATAAACAGTAGCAACATCTTTTGTTTATAAAAGGGGTAAGACTTTACTGTCTCATCTTTATACACCTTGCTGTTTTTACTTTATAACTTTATATTCATATTTAATATTTCAGAATTTGACACATAGTAAGGAAGGGTTAAATATATATCTTTCTTTGTTCATTGTTTGGTAACATTAATTTACTAAAAAACAATGTCCTGAATGTGTGAAACTATGGGCTCTTTTAGGCAAAATGCTGAGACTGGTCCTAGAACAAGAACTATCATATAGCCTAGCATGCGTGAAAAATGCTGTTCCCAGAAGATGGGCTATTAAACTAAAATTTTAGTGGCATTCAGAAGTTACTTTCCTATGAGTTATAGGTCAATGAGACTCCTGGTTGCCCACCATAACTAGCCAATAAGACCCTATTGCTGTAGACACCATACACTTTGGTTGCAAGACATAAAGAAATTGAACTTGAACTAACTAGGAAATTCTCTCCATGCTGGCTACCCTTCATGGTGCTGGAAGGTGCTATGCAGACTGCTGGGGAACAAAGGACATGGGTGGTATTACCCAGCACTGAACCCTGAATGCTACAGTAGTGACCAGTCAAGCAAAATGTGTGCACTGGTGCAAGAATGGTAAGATTGTTTATGGTGGTAACCAAATGCTGTCTTATTCAGATTTGAAGTCTGCTGGAAATTCATGCTTGGTACTGCAAACATGGTCAAAATCCAAGGCTGGGGAAATTATAGACCCAAGGGAAGAACATACTGATGATTGTTTTGCTAAATAGCCATGTTGTCAAATTACCTTCTAAATATTTATTTTTATTCCCATAGATTTGTGCTGCTCCCAACCTTGGTCAGAGAAGCTTTTTAAATAGGTAGTGATGCACAACTGTCCAAGGTCCTGAAAATAAGCTACTTTAAGTGCTCAGCCATAAATGGGACATCTATAACAACCCCCTCCACCCAAGCAAGGCTTGGGAAACATCCCAGAAATGGGAACAGAAAGAATATCAGAAATAATCCCTGAGCCTTAGGAAACAGAAGCTTAATATAAATATCCTATTCTGAAATAAGCAACTGGAAATAATCATTCTGAGTGAGGTAACCCAGACTCAGAAAGACACAGTCTCATGTTCTCTCTCATAGCTGGATACTTGCTTAGAATTCTTAGCTATGCATGTTTCAATTGGGAAATCCAGGGAGGCTAGGAAACATAAATGTCCATGGGGAAAAGGGAGCTCCATAGGAGAGGCAATAGAATGCAGGGATACAAAGGGTTACAATGGAGCAGGAAGAATTATATGGGGCGGGGAATGGGAGAGCACAGCAGAGGACGGAGCATGGGGAGGAATAACACTAACGGCCTTTAGAAAAAGCTATGTGGAAACCTACCACAATGGAGGCTTCTTTTTTTGTTAAATAAGTTATTGAGAATTCCATACAGGCATATAAGCATATAAGGTGTTTTGATCAAATCCATGCCCACTCCCTCCTCTCCAGCTCCTCTCACATCTCCCCATTACTTTTTTCCGATAACTTCATGTACTCTCTTATTTTGTTATGGGGTTTTTTGCTCCTCTAACATTCCCCCCTCTGAAGAGGTACCCCTAAAATCTTATAAACATTAGATAAGAGCTCTCAAATACTTTCAACATTTTTGGCCTTTGGAATGGAATATGTCACTAAGAGGCCTAAGGACATTTTGACTTTTACCCAAGAAACTGGGCACTTTTCTTTGGGGTCATTTTACACTAACTGCCTAACCAATTACTACCTCCTATTCTTATCACACCATCCTCTGAAGACGTTACCCAGCTTAGGGATAGGGAATTGGGACGCAAACCACTCTGGCTTCTTCCATGCTGAACAGGGACGCAGGATGAGGCAATTGGAGTAGCCACTCTTTTCTGTAGGGGGAAAAGAAAGTCCTTGACTGGCGAATAGGAGATGTGAAGCAGAAGTAAAGGCAAGAGTAATTAGCATTAAAGTTCTACACAGGGAACTAGAAAAAAGTCAGAACAGGGAAATTTTTAAATGTTCATATGAGAGTCCATTGGAATTTCTTAACAAAGGCTTCCAAAAGCATCCCTCTATTGGGTTCCTCTTCATTTTTCTTTTGCCTGCCAAGGCTGGACTTGAGAGTGATGGATTCAGGATTTGCTTTCAGTCATTTTGATAGCTGTTGGAGTAGTTAGAATCAGTGTCAGTTCCCAGTTCCCTCTCAAAGACTTCTAGATAGGGGGAGAAAACAAATTTGGCCATCGTTTTAGAACAATAGGGCATTGTCTCCCTTACCTCCAGGTGGGCACTACAATATTGCACACCAAGATTTGAAATCTTACATCTGAGCAGCACTTTCTAATTCAGAACAAAATCATCAATGAAAAATAAGTGTCTAACTTTTATATGGACTTAAGCCTAATGTATGAGAAGCATAATTCCTTGAACTCTTAAAGAAATATACTGATCACTTTACTCTTTGGTTATATACAGTTGGCCCAAATAAATAAGTTTATATTTACACTTAGGGTCATTTGAGGATCTGTTCCTTGGGTGGTCACATGGGCTTGCGAGGAGCCCCTGGCTCCTTTCTTTTACCAGTGCCATCTATGTCAAGATAGGTCAAAGGTCCTGTTCAACCATGTCCAGTTTCACTTGGAAGCATGGAGGAAATGTTTCTTCCGAGTTGACCCTCCTCTTTGTAGACTGGACACTGGTTCAAGTCTATCTGGTGGGGTCTCCATGTCCTCCCTGAATAAGAGGACAGGTGAGTTACCACAGTTACAGGACACTTTGAGAGATGCTTCATAGTCTCCTGGAACTTAGTCGACCTTGGAGGACAAGGAGCAAAAACTGTCCTTTAAGTCCCTCTGACCACATTAGTATAGGCCTCAAACTATGGCTGGTAAACATCCAATAAAGTTAGTTCCACCAGGCTGGTACTTTTAATTACTATTTGCTATGTAGATAAAGCTTGGGTAAAAAAACAAATGTTCTCAGATAAACCTTGACTAGATATATATTTTGTTCCTTAAACTAGTTGACTAAAAGATGGCCTGGCGTGCACCATCATGCTCAGCCTTTCCTGCTCTTGACCTTGTAATCCTTATACAGGGCACAGCAAGTGGTCTGGGACAGTTAAGTTGGTGCTGATTCAGCTGATCTTTGTTTTACTCTGCTGGGCTGTCCAGATTGACTGAGACTCCTAGGCTCAAGTGACCCCTCTACCTCTGCCTCCTAGGTGCTAATACTGCAGGTGGACACCACCTGACCTAGCCTTTTTTTTTTTTTGTCTTTTTGAAGCAGGGTCTCCTTGTAGCCCCAGCTGTCCTGGAACTCACTATGCAGACCAGGCTGGCCTTGAACTCACAGAGATCCACCTGCCTCTGCCTCTGCCTCCCAAGTGCTGGGACTAAACAAATACATTTTCCATCTGTTGTAAAATTTCTTTTCCTTGTGATACTAGGCAATGTTTATTCCCTTTCAAGGTTCTAGTAGCAAACCAATGCTTGACGAATGTTTTACTGGGTAACCAATGAATTTACTGAGCTTACTTACTGAGATAACAGAGGGGTTACTGAGGTGTATGAGTGACCTGATGTTATGCACACTGGAAAGCCTTTACCCAGCATAAGTCAAGCCTTCTCTTCCTAATCTTCCCCAGATTGTATACTTTAGCCTTCCCCAAATCCAGGAGACCATGTGCAATTAGGACCAAATTACATACTGTTGGCTGGGAAGAGTGGCTGGATAATGCGGTGAGGGTCCAGTGACCATGCTTGCCCCTTCTTTAATGAAGGAACACAACCATCAACGAGTGAAATTATGACAATCTTTAGCGGTCAGGCATAGCTGTCATGATGATAGTAGTTATTTCATGCAGAAGAGATTGCTGTACAGTATCATTTTATTAAAAGGACATGGAATTTAAAAGGATTTGGTGCTAGGATCCACATATGATAGAGACCATACATCTCTTATTTTTCTGAGTCTGTGTTAGTATAACAGTTTCTAGATCCATCCATTTACCTGCAACTTTCATTATCTCATCTTTCTTTACTGCTGAATAGAACTCCATTGTGTAAATATACCACATTTTTTAAACATTCATCAGTTGAGAGGCACTTAGGTTGCTTCCATCTCTTAGTTATTGTGAAAAGATCAGCAACAAACATTGTTGTACAAGTGTCTCTACAATAAGATGAGTCCTTTGAGCATATGCCAAGGAGTGATATAACCCAGTCATACGGTAGGTTCATTTTTAGTCTTTTAAGACTTCTCCACACCATTTTCCATAGAGGCTGCATGAGTTTGCAATCCCACCAGTAGTGA